ACAAAAGAAGGTGAGAAATTCGGGATAAAATCGCATGCGCAGTGGAATCGATTCTTAAACTATGAAAAGGCTTATTATGTAAAGGACATGCACCGCATCAAAGAAATTCCTTAGTAAGATGCACTTATACAGTAGCTGGATACAAATTTAATTCATTTACGATGACTTTGTTTTATGGTATGAATCAGCTCGAGATTATGTCAGCAAAGTTCCAGTTTGAATGAAAGAGTTTTAATTTTGGAGCGATTTTCGTTCTTTGTGTAAATTAGTAATTTCGAAAAGTTCTGTTGTCATATGTTAATTAAATCCCTGCAGAGTTCAATAAGCATTTGGAATACCAAAAACATGAAAGTGAAGCTGGTAGGCCCTTGTTGTTTCTGTACAAATCTTTCTAATTTCAAACAGCTGTAGCTTTTTATCATTTGATCTTATTACACTGAATTTTTTTTAAGATCACTAATTTTGATATACTCTTTCTAATGAAAGTATTCTTGTCTTCTATAACTGATGAACTAAGGTATCTCAATGGACACGCCCTTTTTCATATGGTCTAATGCCCTATTTCACTATGACGTCACATCAAAACAATCTATCGTTTAAACACAAAGGATCATAGTCGTCGGAGGGGGTCAAATCAGCGCAAATTCACCGAAAATTGTTCTAAAACCCGTATCATCCACGAAGAGAAGTAGAATAGCCAGCAAACGCTCAGAATATTTTTTAGTACATATTAACACATATTATATCTGAAAACCAGACCATTTTAGATTAAACTGTTTCGCTAGGAGCAAATTTTGTTGAATTATTGGATTTGGCGATTCTATCCCTCACGTAAACAAGCAGTGACGTCATAGTGAAATAGGGCAATTGATGGGTTTGAGATCTTTTATGCATTACCAGTTACAGTTTCCCCTTTTGTGAGCATCCATCCATCCTTGTTGAGTTGGAGAATGAAAAAGATGTGGCCACGCCGATGGAGAACAACACTAAATTATAATGAAAAAAGGCTGTGGAGATGGAGAACTACTACGGAAAACTTATTACGATTTGAGTCGTCAATACGGCTTTATATTGACGGCGTCGCACTAACTTATGAAGAAAATCAGCGAGCGGTTATCACACGACAGATCAAGTTGAACTACTTAATAACCAAAGTAGTTGAATGAAAAAAAATCAACAAATGACCGACGATAAAGCGACCTCAGTTAGGCCATTACATTCCAAGCAGGTACAATTATCTGCCGAAAGCAGCTGCTAATATCCCGACCTCCTTTCGACTAAAATATTCGACCAGTTAAATTTCTCGGCAAAATAGCTACTGTTCAAAGCTCTAAGATGCATTCTATGTATGTGCAGTCACAGGTAGCCCAAGCTTGGTTTCTGTGGTGTCCTGTTATAAGGAAATTTATGGGGATTCATCAAAAATTTCAATAAAATCATCAAAACGTGAAATAAAGCCTCGAAATTTTACCCTATCATTGAGAAATAGCACTTCTTTCGCTCTGCCTGGTTATTTTTTGAATTTAGCCCGTTTTAAGGATTTTTTCCCCCACCAGTATTATTTCTTACTGGTGGGGGAAAAAATCCTTAAAACGGGCTAAATTCAAAAAATAACCAGGCAGAGCGAAAGAAGTGCTATTTCTCAATGATAGGGTAAAATTTCGAGGCTTTATTTCACGTTTTGATGATTTTATTGAAATTTTTGATGAATCCCCATACATTTCCTTATAACAGGACACCACAGAAACCAAGCTTGGGCTACCTGTGGTGCAGTAGACCGATGATCGACGGAAAGAGCGGCCAAGATCCGACCAGTTGGTAAAAAGCTACGACCATTCTCTAAAATCGTCAACATACAGAAAGAAATATAGGAGCAGCAGGTCTGCCACATGATCATAATTTTAAATTCTTCTTTAGTTATTTAATTTATAATTTATTTGATTAATTTCAATTTTTACATATTCTGTGCATTGGACTGCGGGGCAGTCCCTGCTTTTTTGCGGACCGTCCGTTGGGGCGAGTTCACCACTCGATCGAGTGTGGCCTCATTCCTGCGGATGGTTTGTGGGAGGGTGGGGACTGTTTTGCAGCCTATTTGCACATGGATTTTTCGATGGGGGTAGGATTAAGGCATGGTATGGAATTATATTATTTTATTCACTTTTATACTTAATATTTATATTTATGGGTAAATAGTAATTTACTGGGGTTGGGTCAGGTGTTAGGGTTGTTTTTTTGGGATAATATTAAATCTACTAGATATTTTATAAATATATATTATTAGCTTGYTTTTACATTGTATTTTATATCTTTAGGAAGGCACTTTGTAAACCAGTCTATGACTGAAAGTTTAAACCTTCGTTAAATAAAGCTTTTATTATTATTATTATTATACACGCGGATAAGAAACGACGGACGAAGCGACCAATATTTGATCATTTGTTCGCATGAATGATTTTTGAAGAATATCAAGGAAAAAATTGTAAGCGTTATATCAAGGACAGAGCCAAGCACCAGGTTGTATTACTTTTATTTAAAAAAAAGTCAAATAAAAGTTTTAACTGATTTTCTTCAAGCAACACCCACAAATTCCTTGTTTAAGGCATTGCCATCATCTACTCAGCAATATGAATTATTATTTGAATATATTCTACGAATTACTGAACCAATTTTCATTTTATTTAAGAGCCTGGACCAAATCCTCCACTGTTGGCCTGTCTGTTGACACTTTACTTTGATAAACCAGCTTCATGTTGCCATGACAATCAATGATGAAGTCGCCGCCCATTTGTGAAGGATCATCTTCTTCGAATAAACCAAAAAGCTTCCTTCCTTTTCGTTTCTGTTCAGCATAATAAACCAATGCAATTGTGCACCACGTTTTAGCGACTGACCTGTGAAGTCCTAGTGCCTGGTACAGCTTTCTTTCATGGTCGATAAACATTTCAAACTCACATTTGGTTTGTTCGAGCCATTTATTTGCTCCTTCCTAGAAAGATAAAGTCAAAAACGATAAGATAGTACTCTAAAAGCAATGAGGTATTGTGGCTAAAATGTTAGTCCAACATATATAGGCAACTTAGATTTTTATTTTTTCAGCCAATCATGGTGTAGTTTTTAGGTGCAGCTGCAGAAATCATAATGAAAATGGCCTTAATTGGGAGAGGGTGACACGTGACAGTAATTGCAAGTTGGCACCAATAAACTTGTGGTCCTCTTTTTAACGTCTCTGAATAAGATGGGACCGCCATTTTACGTGGTCATCTGAGTCATAGCGAAGGACTAACCATTTGTAGGCAATTTTAGAGCATAGGCAGCACCTTCTACTCTGATATTTTAAGACCCTGAGTATATGACTTAGGCTTGAACCAATGACACCCCCCCCCCCCCTGCACAATAAATCGGTACCCAGCCAAATGAGCCAACCGGGAGGGGGTTAGAGGTATCCAATAAAACACTTGCATATATTGAAAGCCATTTGAAAGACTTTGTGTATCATTTTTTCACCAACCCAACAAATTCAAATTATAAAAGTTTATAAAATGATTCCCCATTGGTCTGATATATGAATTTACTAACGAATCAATTCAGCTCAAGGTCCCTGGGGAAGGCTCTGCTGGATGGCAAACAAACTTTTTCAGTGCGAAATTAGTAATCCTGCAAAAAATCTTTAAATAAAGGAAGTCCAAATTTTTTTGCCATCCAGTAACAATCATGTGTCAATCTATTGCAAAAGGCCTATCATATTTAAGAATGACTTGAGACTTGAATATAGAGTTTCTTGAGCTGTGATTGGTTGAGCGACTAGTGATTCTGAAACGATAATCACTGCTGGAGCAGCGAATATGAGGTTTTCCAAAGTTTTTCAGATCAGATGTAATACTAAAACGTTTTTTAATCCTGAATTTCGACTTTTCTCTGATATTCAAGTCTAAAATTATACTAAAACAATTATTCCCCTCAGTCTCTGTGATATTTACCTCACCGCTCGAGGATTTGCGGCTTGGTAAATGTACCACGGAGGGAGAAAGACCAAAGAACCCGGAGAAAAACCCATCATTACAAGGGAGGGAACAACACATCAAACAAACTCAATTCACATGACTGTGGCTCAGCTGGAAATTGAGCCTGCAACCCCAGGCCTGAACAATACAGTAGTGATAGACAGCACCTTTGCAGCGCATACCACTCATGCCACCCACAAAAATAGTTACCAGGTTTCCAAAGCTGACGACTACTATGTGACCATTTTCTGCTTCGAGCTCCTTCTTTTGTGACTGAACTTGAGCAACATGGTCACGTCAAGGAAGTCAAGCAAAGTGCCGAAGAAGAATCAAGACTAGGCTTGAATGACCAACAGACTCAAGGATGTCTTTGATCAGGTAATCCCTGTTGATTGGATAGAAATAAATTGAAATTCAGATGCAGAGAAATTTAGTTAATAAATAAATGAATGAATGAAAAATTGAATGAATCTCCTGTAAAGATGGATGAGATATGAATGAATAATCAATCAAGTAAACATGGAATGGGTGCATAGATGGAATATTTGGACCGATGGATGGATGGATGGACGGATAGATGGTGGAATGAATCCACTGTGGATGGATGATGAATGAATGAATGAATGGATGGATGGATGGAATAATGGATCTTAGATAGTTGGACAGATGGATGGATGGATAGATTGTGGAATGAATCCACTGTGGATGGATGATGAATGAATGAATAGATGGATAGATGGAATAATGGACAGATAGTTGGATAGATAGATGGATGCATGAATAGATAGATCAAAGTTGGACAGATGGATAAATATACAGATGGATAGATGAATGCATGAGTACAATGTACATTTATGCCAAGTGAAATCTCACCTGTTTGACCTCACATTTGTTAACATCAAATCACAAGGCCCTGGTGAACCGATTGCCAGTTTTCCCCTTCTTTCACCTCCACCCATCATCTTTCTATCAACCTCTTCTAAAAAGCTATTCCATTCATGTTCTAATTCCATCAGCTTATCTACACTCTCAACCAGATATTCATCACTGTAATGCTTTCCAATTTCTCTCTCCATTTCGTGTCTACCAAGAACTCCCAAGGCGCAGAATGCATTATAGTAATGTCCAATAGCACTATTCAGTCTCCTGACCTTATCACTGACAAATTCTTCGAGGGATGCTGCAAAAGTCTTTTTAGCATCAACAAGTAAAGTTGACAGACATTCTTGTAGTTTGTTTATTTCCTTGATCAATGTCTCTTTGGCGACAGGAGTTGTAAGTTCCTATATTGAAGCATAAACACTTTAGAGCAGTTTCAGTATGACTGCAAAAAACTTGGTGCCATATCCGTGCCTTTTCACCACCGTTTCCTAGCATTCTCATTGGCTGATTCTTTACTCGTGCAAAATGATTGGTCTGGCAGTGTCACCATGACCTTGGAGTGACTGTGTCAATGCCGTGTTCATGCCAAATTTCTAGTATCTGACTGGATGGAGATTTTTGTGCAATTTGGTTGGTCTGGCAAATACCTTACCTTGTCACAACCGTATTCATACAGCGAGCTTTTCACAGTCATACAAAAATTCTCTATGCCTCCTACATGTACTGTATTCTTAATGCAAACTCTTTTTATAAAAACTTCTTTTCATAGATTACCATAGCTAGAAAAATCATGATAAAATCAGTAAAAATGAGAAGTTTGAAGTAAGTAAGTTCAAAACACACAAACAAATGATTTTTGAAACATAGTGGTGATAACTAGTACTGTAGAGTACTAGCGTGGATTTTTGAAACATGTTTGCCAATGATTCTCTCTATAAATTGCCATCAACTTTATCATTATAACTACAGTTATATTAAAGAATGACTCTAATAAGCCTTTTTACCTGGCTTACGTCATCTTCGTCTTGTTTTTTGGGCTTTTTCTCCTTGGGTTCCTCTTCATCTGACATAACACCTCTTCACTCGGAAACTTTGTAATCAAAAGCAGGCGTTCCTTTCTAACACAGGACCCCCAATACAAAAAATAATATTTATAAGAAGCGATTCAAACGTTTTAAAAAAGGCATTAAAAATTTAAAAAGGTAATATAAATTCGATATCCAAAAAATTAAAAAAAAATTATATGCATATATTTAATTTAATTTTACAAAAACAAAGTTTCTTAATTTTGGCCGCGTTAGTCTGGTACCCATCCCATTTGGCGCCATTTTTTTTCAATAATAACTTTGAAAGAAGGAAGACGAACGAAGACGGTTTCTTTTTATTCAAACTACTTTTCCTAATGGATAAAGGAGAACTAGGAGAAGACGTTGTATCCATGGTAGATGTCCTTCAAGAGGACAATGATTTAGAGGAAGAAGCGAATGCGGTTTTTGGGGATAGTGACGACCAACATTGCACATATCCCAAGGTACATATGTACAGTACTCCGAACCTTCGACCAATTTCTACTTTATTCGACGTTTTCACGTAGACCTTCATTACATCTTTAATCTAAAAATTAATATAAGACATATATGGAATTTTAAAAGTATTTTAAGAAGTTTTTAGATTCTTTCTCATTTATAAACACAGTGAAATACAAATATAAGTTTATTATAATTAGCTATAACTATACTCCTGTCCAGATGCAGAAGGGAAAAATCGGAAGAATAGGAGAAAGAAAGAAAAAGAGAAGAATAGAAAATCAGATAAAAGAGATATATAAATAACAGTATATCAAATATATAACAATAAGTGTCTTGAATATTGGACTCACATAATTTTTAAAATGATCTTTTCTTACTTTTTATTTTAGGGCTACCTAAGTCGACAGGCATTGTATTCGTGCAGTACTTGTATTCCGGCCACCTCAGAACCAGCTGGAGTGTGTCTCGCCTGTAGTCTTACCTGTCATGATGGACATGAGCTGTATGAACTCTACACAAAAAGGTAAATAGTCATGGATGCACATCACCAATTCTTACAGCACCATGACTGGCATAACCTTTTTATTACACCTCCGTTGGTTGGATTAGAATGTTTTCAGTTTTTGTAATATATATATATATATATATTTTTTTTTTTTTGCGAGAAATTATGGGTTATTAGCTCACAGCCCAACCAACCATGCGCCAAATTTGTCTTTCCTCTACTTACCTGAAGCCAATCTTGCTTTGTCAAAAATACCTGTCAGGAATGTTTCTCCAGTAGGTTTTGGGTTTTTTGAGGTACACTCACCAAAATACAGTTGCAGCTGAGGGGGAACCATTGATAATGCATACACTGAATAATAAATAATGGTATTGTATAGATTTGGTCTGAACCCAGGTGAATAAATGTTTATCGAAGTAACGATATTTGTATTATGACCATCTGGGTGGACATGTGTATTGTGTAGTTCCAAAAATTATCCATACCCCCCCTCCCCACGGAGGAATTTTTTTAAGACACCCCTTTACCCCCAGAAAGTCCAATTTTCTTACATACAAACTCTGTAATTTTTGTTCTTTCTCTGATCCCCCCGCCCTTCGGAAATTCCAAATTCCTCTGTGGGGTGGGTATGGATTATCTCTGGAACCACATGTACACATTCTTCACTTGACTCTGAAGATGATTATAGCTCAGGGTGTCGAAATGTCAGTTCCATCTAACAGTCCTTCTCAGGACTACATCCACCAGGATGATCATAATACAATTAATATTGTTATTCGATAAACAAATAATGGTATTTTTTGAAGTTTTGAAATAACTCTTTCTTTAATATGTTTTGTTAGGAATTTCAGATGTGATTGTGGTAACTCAAGATTTAAAGGGATTATGAAGTGTAAGCTTTGTCCTGTGAGTATTTAGCATTGTATCCAATTATTTTAAATGATAATAAGTAATATATACAGTATGAGTGGCCATGATGTATCAGATATACAAACTTGAGGCATAGCCGAGCATTTGTATATCGGATACAACACTGACATGAATACTGTAGATTGCTGGCCAAGAAATCTGGCCAAGAAAATCCGACTTAAAGTTTATGCAAATGAACACAATTTTGTATCAGATTTACATTCTAACACTCTACACAGCTGTGATTTCTGTTGTGTTTTCCTCATTAATTATTAATGAGTTTGACAATAATTATTATAGCGTAGATATAAAAACTTCTTTTTTTGTACTTAAACTAGTGTATAGCAATTACATTATATTGCGTGTTATAATCTAGTGAATAACAGATTGATGATCGAAAAAAACTAGTCAATCTGGATGGGACCACTCTAGGACTAAACTTACTGTGATGCATTTCCCATATCTCCTGTAATTCTTATTGATGGGCTATAGTATCTTTTTCTATCCTAATGAACTTTAAGCAAAAATGAAACAAATAAACAAACTAAATACTGTAAAAATGAATAAATAAAAATTAAGAGAGGGCAGATAAAGGCATTTCTCCTTATTTCTTTCTCTCTACTTCTCTCTTTTTCCATTTCCTAACATCTTCCATAAGGAAGCCCAGAGAAAGGACAGAATGAGAGAAATGTCCAGAGGAGGCAAAACTGAATTCTTCACAAAAAAATATTTGAATGAGTTTGAATTTTTAAGAATGAATTTTTTAAAGGATATAAAATGTCACCTCTCTGCCAAATTAAATGAACCCTTAATTTTAAAACTCCAAAAAGGTTGGCTAGCTACCCAATCCATCTCCCAGGCCTTTGATCTTCCCTTGAAATAAGTGAATCACACCAGATTACATTTGTTGTATATGCTTCAATATTTTTTTAGGACAAGGACAAAACAAACAGTAAAAACAGTTACAATCAGAACTTTAAAGGAGTATATTGCACATGCCATAAGCCATATCCAGATCCTGAGGATGAGGTGAGTATTAATGGTTATGAAGAAAGGACTAAATGGGTCCAAAATGGTCATCAGACAAGCTGTTCTTGCAGTTTTGGAAGCACAGGTGGTGTAGAAGTGAGTGCTCGAGTCTCATCAGTGCGACTCAGGTTTGAGTCGACCCGCCATGCTTGGTGTTGTATGTGAGTAGAGTTTCTAGTTAGTTCTCTCCTGTGCTTTGAGGTTTTTCTCTAGTTTCTCCGGTTTTCCTCCATCCACAATAATCCACTGCTAAATTCCACTTCAATCATGAAATGGGAACCACAAGTTAGTTAGCCACTGGCTATTAAGTGTGTTACCCATGTAAATAAATAAAAAAAAAAAAACAACAACAACAAGGAAGACAAGATGTTACTTACATTTTTCCATGATAAGATTTGTTTTCCAAAGTTCTTATTGTTTCAGGTTAAAGTTAGATCACTGAGAAAAATTTCGCTTTATTTTAACGGTCATTTTTGTGAGCAGTTAGACCATGAAAATGGTAACAACTTAAAAGCCATTTATATAAATCAGTATGATTGACATTTTTCATTGATTTGTTACAGATTGAAGATGAGATGATACAATGCGTGGTGTGTGAGGATTGGTATCATTCACGGGTAAGTGTACATTTCATTTATTTCCAAGAATGATTGAATATGGATTGTTCTTGACTACCATCTGTTTAGACTCTTGACAGTCTCTTGTAAATATTGAAACAAGAGAGACTGTGGACGATTATTTTGGTTCCCAAAGCACGCTGGGTCCAAGTTTTCTGGACCCATAAGTCCTTTCGGTCATTGTACCGTTACAGTCTCTAAGCGTGGAGACGGAACGTATGAGTGAGAGACTGTGGAAGAGTCTACCATCTGTTTTGCTGGGTGTTTTAAATTTGGTAATTTCGCTAGCCAATACAAAAAAATTAATCCTATTCCTACAGTACCATCTGTTTAACCCTTTCACTACTAGAGCGGCCAAAAGCGGCCAACTGAAAAGATATTTTTGCTTTTCAATTACCTGTCCCCTAGGACATTGTGTGGGCTATTGTTTTTTGGATCATTAACCAATCATATTCTATCAACTGCTTTGATGTGTGTTATAAGGTCTCAATATCTACTAAGCATATGTTTTTCATTTTGATAGTGAGAAATAAAAACACCCAAATTATGTTCTAGGAAGAGCTGGCGTTGGACCCTTTTAGCCTGTAGTAGTGAAAGGGTTAATAAAGAAAATTGTTTGCCTTGTTTTTATTTAAAGCTACATTTACCTATAGAGTTGTTTGGCAGCAGCTATAATGTATGGCAAAGCATAATTTTTCTTCTTTGAGAACTGATATGTCCTTAAGCATGTCTACTGTAAAAAACCCCTTTATAAATGCATTGAAACTACAAAAATAAAGTGAGTAAGAAAGTTTAAATCCAGCCAGTGCACAGTGTCTAGGCTCAACTACGTATTAACCAATGATTTGCATTTTATTTTTTTATAGCATCTTGGATCTTTACCACCAGCTGAGGGGGATTTTCAGGAAATGATCTGTGACGCATGCATGGAAAGATGTCCATTTCTGCAGGCTTATCTGTCTCTCTCAGGTATGTGTTTGAATTTGCCAAGTCCAAGTTTGAAAAACTGATTCTGAATAAACTCTTTGACTCCTACTTATGCTTGAAAACCCTCGTAAAAACCCACCTTATTCAAAAAGTTCCAGCTTCAATAATTTTGAGCAAGTTGGCCTGAATTTAAACTCTTAACAGTCCCAGCTCTTTTCTATCCTAACTCATTGAAGTCGGTTTTTCCCCTGCCTTGAACACATTTCCTCTCCTGTCATGCTGATTAACCTCTGGGCTGATTTAAATGAGAGCATGTTTGTGACTGGCTCACACTACAGATTTGGAATTTAGCATGTTTATGGAGGGAGGAAAACACGAAAAACTGGAGAAATACCCCCAAATTGAGGGAGAGACCTAACCAACTCAACTCACAATTGAAGCTGAGTCCAGGAACCAAACCAGAGGTCTTAGAGGTGATAGGCCAGTGCACTACCATAACACCTACCTCCCTTGATCCCCAAAGAATGAGGGCCACAGGTGAGGTCCAGTTATGAGTAAATTTTGACAAACGTCATGGTCCTGAAGCAGTGACACAAGAGGCATGAACTAGCGACAGAAGACAGACTGCTGCTAATGAATTACTGACAATGAGGCCCTTTAAGGGGAAAATTCCGAAACCAACTTGTGAACATTCCAAAATTGTGACATAGGAATTGTTAAATTCAGAAGGAGGATTAGAGTTAGATTACTCCCCTAATAGGAGTCACAAGTAATGTGTTGGTCATTGGTAGTAACTACTGTACTACTCTTATGTGTATGATTATTTTTTACAGCACCAAGCCAAACAGGTCTTGGACCAAGCCAGCAAGTAATAACAAAGGAAGAAAAAGATTTCACAGTTGATGTTGTCAAAAGTGAAAAGACAGAGAGTACAAAGGCAGAGGCAGAAAGTGAAGCAAATGATGTGAAAACACGAGATAATCAAACATCATGTGGAAAGGTGAGATGATAATAGACATGAATTCATTTCTTTGCTACGAGCTGATGGAGACAACAGTTGCGACAGATAAATTGGGCAAATAACAGTACTAGTACGTAAAGGTACCAACCAATTTATTTGATTGTTAGTAGTCTATTGTTCGATTTCAAATTAAATAAATAATAAATAATGGATTAATAGTGGATTCCAGAGTGGCTCTCCTTCCACTGGAATTGGAATTTAGAAGTTTATTTTTATTGATTTATTCATTCATTCATTCATTCATTCATCCATCCATTCATCCATTCATTCATTCATTCATTCATTTATTTATTCATTTATTTATTCATTTATTTATTTATTTATATATTTATTTATTTCATGATTCACCCAAGGAGGGAGGAAAACTGGAGAACCCGGAAAATCCTCGAAGCACAGGAGAGAACCAACAAACAACTCTACTCACATGCGACACTAAGCACAGCAGGACTCGAACCCGTGTTGCAAGAAGCGAGCGCTTTCACCGCTACGCCACCCGTGCTTATTGATAAGAAGGAATGAAAGATGAATAAGTGAATGCGAATAAATGATAAATGCTTTTCACATGCTGTATATGAGAGACTAGTCAGCCCAGAACATTAGCTATTCAAAATTGGTCACCATATTGATTTGGTGTATAGTAAATCTTTTATTTGTGTTTTAGGAAGCCGAGTCAAAGCAAACTGTATCTTCATTGTCATCAAGTGATGAAACTAAGAAGCAAGTCAATGGAGAAGAGGATGAGTCTAAGAAAGATGCTGTAAAGAATGAACAAAGAGCTGCAGAATGTGACTGTAAATTATTTCAGTTGCAAGCCAGCATCACTGAAATCAGAAGTGCTGCTTCTTTCTGGAATACTGGTTGGCGATGTCAGTTATGTACTTGTAACAGCTGTAAGGTAGATAAAATCTCTGGGCTGATCTAAATCAGGCTACAGCTAACTCAAAGGTCAAATTGGATTAAGCTTGCTAGGTTTTATAGAGAGTGAAGGGGGGGGGGGGAGAGACTGGAAACAAATTAGATGCCATCTTGAAAATATGTCCCCCAAAACAGTACCACAATGCACTGCAGTACCAATGTGACCCAGTTTTGTCCTCAACCTTGAAATGGCTAATTAGAGGAATGGAAAAATTGAACATAAAAAAATGTAAATCTTTCATTATGGATATCTTTTTAAGGACCTGTACAGTTCACTTGGTGTGTCTTTCTTGATGGATGAACAAGACACCATAGTGGCTTATGAAGAAAGAGGAAAGCAAGCACAAGCATCAAAGATGACATCATATGAAAGTGGCATGCAGGCACTGGAGGGTATGGGAAGAATAAACCAAGTGGAAGCAATCCATGGTAAATATACCTTGTACATTCTTGATGTTGGTATGCACTGGTAAAGGTATGGTAGGTTGTTAGTAGGGTGTTGGTGGGTTGTCAGTAGGGTGTTGATAGGCTGTCAGTAGGGTGTTGGTGGGTTGTCAGTAGTGTGTTGGTGGGTTGTCAGTAGGGTGTTGGTGGGTTGTCAGTAGGGTGTTGGTGGGTTGTCAGTAGTGTGTTGGTGGGTTGTCAGTAGGGTGTTGGTAGGTGGTCAGTAGGATGTTGATAGACTGTCAGTAGTGTGTTGGTGGGTTGTCAGTAGTGTGTTGGTGGGTTGTTAGTAGGGTGTTGGTGGGTTGTCAGTAGGGTGTTGGCGGGTGGTCAGTAGGGTGTTGRTAGGTGGTCAGTAGGGTGTTGGTGGGTTGTCAGTAGGGTATTAGTGGGTTGTCAGTAGGGTGTTGATAGGTGGTCAGTAGGGTGTTGGTGGGTTGTCAGTAGGGTGTTGGTGGGTTGTCAGTAGGGTGTTGGTGGGTTGTCAGTAGGGTGTTGGTGGGTTGTCAGTAGGGTACGTGTTGGTGGGTTGTCAGTAGGGTACGTGTTGGTGGGTTGTCAGTAGGGTGTTGGTGGGTTGTCAGTAGGGTGTTGGTGGGTTGTCAGTAGGGTGTTGGTGGGTTGTCAGTGTGGTGTTGGTAGGTGGTCAGTAGGGTGTTGGTGGGTTGTCAGTAGGGTGTTAGTGTGTTATCAGTAGGGTACGTGTTGGTTGGTGGTCAGTAGGGTGTTGGTAGGTGATCAGTAAGGTGTTGGTAGGTGGTTAATAAGGAAGAAGCACCCCTCCCCTAGATCCACCACCTCTGTGCCCTGACTTTGATAAGCCCAAAGGTTGTTTTAGGTTATCTATAAAATCTGAAGGTTCATTTGGATACTACTTGTGTTGAATTAACACTAAAACAAATAAATTTTCAACTCTTCAGGATATAATGACATGAAGAATGAACTTACTGATTACCTGAGGGAGTTTGCTGATCAAGGAAAGGTACTAAGCTTTTCTTAGTCCCTTTTATTCATCTCTTTATTTTATTTTTTCCATAACAGTGCTTCTTAAAGAGAACATTAATTGCGAATTAAAATAGAGTTAAATAGGCTACTTGCATTATAGCATCATTGATTTACTACCACTACCACAGTCTCTTATACACTTTCTTTTGTTCAGTTAATTAGCACCAATTGTCTTACTATTCTCATGAGGGAATGCAAATTTGAATAAGAAAGAAAATTCGCAAAGCATTTTGGTAGCTGTAGTAAAATGACGCCATCATGCAAACGGTCTATTACTACATGTACAACAAAAAATCAGATAGATAGACAACTACCCATTTATTTAATCCCTTTTCTCTATTTTAAGTCCCTGTTTTAGGTCGTTAAGTATGAGGATATCAGCCTCTCAATTATTATTGGATTCAGTTAAATCAGAGCCACCCTATGGAAGCAATACTCAAATCCCATTTATTTAATCCCTTTTCTCTTACTTTTTCGTCTATGTTTTAGGTGGTTACGTCTGAAGATATCAAGAGCTTCTTCGATTCAATGCAGTCAAGAAAGAGACAGCGAACAGGCTCAGCAAGTACTATACAATACCAGTGCAAATAGTGACTACACTAGAGATAACAGAACTGTTGATAAGATACGTATACTGCACCTTTGAATAAAAAAAGGGATTTCAACGAGGCCATCAACATGAGGTAGGGTGATCCTACTGCAGTGGTGGTTCCAGGAGTGGTCTGCTGGTTCCATGGAACCCCCAACATGTTCTTTACAGTATAATGAAATTACCCCCCCCACCTTGTGAAACCAATCTTACCAGCTTTTTCTGCATGGCGGACATTTTGGAACCCCTATTTTAAAATCCTGGATCCACCACTGTACTGTTAGGGCAAACTCGTCTCAAGAAAACGAAGGACTTCCTTGCACCAGGACCACCGTACCTTGTAAACGGCCTCTCAAAGAACTAAAAAGGGATTCTGATTTCTTCCTAGCCTACCTTTTGCAAATTTTTCACAAAATTGACAAATATCTTGAGCCACTGTAGACCAGATTTAAGAAATCGTTATGAAAAGCAAGTGAGTAGTGAGGGTAGGGCGAGCAGAGTGCCCCCCCCCCCCAAAAAAAAGAATTTGACTACAAATCATATATACTTAATTTCGAGTTAGGCTTTGCTCAACCCTAGTCTCGATGGTATGCAATTATGTTTCTTTTATTAAGGTCCATTGTATAGTAAATGTACGTACTACGAAACAATACAAGTGGATTAAAATCCTACGGGTTGTCTTTTAATTGGCTGACTATTTTTAAATACAACCGAGGCTAAGGCTGAGCGAACTCGAAACTGGAGTATTTCCCTTTTCGCCCTGTTTTGTTGGGCTTCCTATGGATTTGGCGGGAATTTTCGCGCCAAAATACGTGTGCATGATCTCCAACTCTGGTTCTCTCTTTACGCCACTGATGAAAAGCTGAACATTTGTCTTCCCAGCAGTATAAAAAAAGGGAAAAAAAGATATATATAATACTAGATATTTAGCATAGGTTTACTTAATTTCAGAAGCACCAAAAATGTTGTTAATTAAGAGATGCTATTTGTTAAATGTTTCGTTTGTGCAAGAAAAAGTGCTGAAAGCTTTCAGTTTTTTCAGCGAAAACGTCTTTTTTACCAGTCTCCTTAAGAATGCGCTCAGTTGTCATCGCGCCAATATAGGTTTTGTTGGATTGGATCTTGGAAGGCATGGACTGTGATCTGGGTGGCTCTAACTTCCTGCCTTCCGGGGTGTTATTGAGTGTATTTTCGTTCTTCTAAGCCAAGGAAGTTTTCCCATCATTTTTGTACGAATTTTTGACAAGCAAAGAGAAAAGATGACCGGATTGACAAAAGATTGAATGTGAACGAGAAGGACAAAGACATGATGGATTACCATGGTAACATCATTCTTCCATTCCTTTCCTTTTGCAAAGATTATGACATTTATGAACAAGACCGAGAAGCTCTGGGAACGAGACTGCCCCATAGTTCTGTCATTCTATTAAGTCGAACATGCGCAGTAAGAATGACAGGATTTTAGGGATGAGAGTAAAACCGCGCGGGAATCCCTCGATCGATGCGAGATGCGCCGTAAGTAGGCAGCATCCTTGAGATGACTGTCAACTTTTGAAAATGGAGCTACTACGTACATTACTACAAGCATGTTTGCTAATTCTAACATGCTCTTTCTTGCTAGCGTAATCATTATCCTTTAATTTAAGGACACTGCATTCTGATTGGCTGCGCGAGCGGGCGGTATTTTCTATCTCTTATCGCGGCCCGGTAGTATCCTGGGATAACGGATTGCTAAACAAGTTAAAAAGTAAATGTAAAAAAAAAGGTTATTTACCTTCCTAAAGTGGGTCCGAATATTGACAAACTGTGTTCTCGGCCCGTTGAATATTTTCAACACGTCGGGCACGCTTTTTCCCTATCCGGACCTCCTGGCCGGTAAATAATATTTGTGTACGGTGTGTTTTGGAGACCTTTAGAATTACGTGATAAAAACACATTGCTTCAATCCCATGCCCTCACGCGATAATTTTGACGGCGACCATAACATTTCGGAATCAAACTATTAAGATGGTGCTTTGGTTGTTAATATATAAAAAAACAAAGTTTATAAAAAATACAATTCGGACTAAAAAAATACAATTCAGCTTTAAAAAACTGTGCAAATAGTTTGCAACTATTAAAGTAATGCTTGGCCAGCTGTAACTCCATCTTCGATTCCACACTCGTCAGCCCCACGACGAATCTTGAAATAACCTGCAACAATAACAGTATTTTCTTAAAATAGAAGAAAACAAAGAAAAGAAGCTATCTCCGAAGAAGGAAGGAAACAAACCTACCTTGCAATCCCCAGGTTGTACCCCAAGAATTTGCACAAAGCTGGAAAGTAAAAAAAGCGATGTATAGACTTAGTCACTTAGAAATATCAAGCGATTGATGAACATAACATGAAAAATTTATCATCATGCAGAAAAATCTATAGATAATACACCCAAATGCATGTGGTTGTACGCGGGAAGTCATGAGAAAAATTGTCTTTCTACCACGTGTATTTACAAATTTTATTAGCCAAGCTTTCGCACAACTAGGTAATACGTTCACACAAGATATCAGCCAATCATTGAGAAGCAAGATTGTCTGTGGCGTATCGAGAGTACAAGAGTTGGAGGGGCAAGGGGGAGAGGTCATCATCCTCGCTTCGCACCTGAAGATAGCGAACAAAGTGTACATAACAAATGCTTTAACTCGTAAAGATGATCCAGTTACTAACCCAGTATGGAACACCATTCTCTGTACCCCATCTAAAAAGATAAAATAAATTAACACGAGCATTTTGTCATGTAAACACCACCAACGTGACCATCAACCACCATCATCACATGGAGGCGATGATGGAGGTCCGATGATGGATAATGATAATAATAAATATTTATAACAGCAATAGTTACCCTGAATAAAATCACATGGAAGTGATGATGATGACTGTCGATCATGATGATGACTTGATTACGATGATGATGATGACTGTGGATCATGATGATGAATGATATGACTATTGATTACRATGATGATGACTGTCGATCATGATGAGGGCTGTCGATCACGATGATGAATGATGACTGTCGATGATGATGATGACTGTCGATGATGACTGTCAATCATGATAACTGATGATGATTGATGATGACTGTCAATCATGATAACTGATAATGATGATTGATGATGACTGTCAATCATGATACATTTATACCTACCCAATAACCTTGATGGCATGCCCTCCAGCTTGCGTGCCGGTGGTGTGGGTGTAGACTCCCGACTTGTAGGCAAAGAAATCTTGATAAACCGTAAAATCAGCTACAAAAGAAAGAAAGCAACATAAGTACACACATACAAACACCTTGTACTTCAAGGGTGGTCGTATAAAAGCGGTCGGCCGGTTCATTAAGGTTAATCTTAATAGATTTTAGATGTTTCCTGCGGGGGCGTAGCCAGGACTTTCCGACAGCTGCGCTGTATGGTTTCAATGCGTAACAAAGATGGGTACAGGAGGAACTGTTATGTGTGGGTGTGGCGACACCACAAGTTTCTGTTGCACGAATAGAACTGCTTTCTACTTGTGCAACCGAAACTTGTATAGCGAACAAGTTTCAGGTAAAAGTTTCAACGCGTAATCGTGATTTTGCTTTTTTTATTTTGTGCTATTGTGTGGGGGGACCTCGTTCAAACCTACGACCCACCACTACCCCCCCTCACCCCACCCCACCCCAGCCTTGGATCCACCTAAAATCAAAGCAGAATCACAGATACCTTCAACTGGTCCATAGGTCATGATCTCCGTTTGCATCGCAGGCACCTAAAATAAAAGTAACAAAAATGAACATTTTGACACTGAAACGATGACCCTGAGAAAATGAGTCTAATCAAGTCCGAGTTTCAATTGGTTAATCGGGAAGTCAGGATGGCGTGGTGGTAAAACCCTCGCCTTTCACCTCTGAGGGGTTGGAATTTCAACCACGCCATGTGAGCTGATTTGGTTGGCCGTTTTCTTTCTGACTCCGATTGCGGGGTCATACATGGATTATATAGCGGCTGCCAGAGGCGCCTCCACATGCCTTCAGTTCGACCCAGTTGAGCTGCGCCACTGCTGTACTTTGCTGTGGTGTTTAGCGATGACAAGTTTTTTTTTGACAAGTTTAATACAGCTTTTTACTTACGTTCCTAGCTGGGATTCCGTAAGCATTCTTGGCGTGATAGAACCTGGGTACCTCAGCAGTACTACCACTAGGGCACTCTGTGATGGAACTTCCATTCAGTCTGCACTGATACTGCTCGGCGTAGTAGGGACCGTAGCATCCCTTTGTTAGGAGACTGCAAGGGAAACAAATGAGATGAGTCAAGAAAAGAACTGGACATACACTTCCAGGCGCGATAGACATGGCGCGTAAATAACTTAGTGGCCTGGCTATGTGATAATTCCATGAAAATAGTCTCCTTCACAGTTCCCTGCGCCATCTTGAAAGGTAGCCGTGCCTTTGCCTCGAAGCGAGACGAACGGTGAGCTTGCAATGATGGATCAAGACATAATTGTCCAAGGTGTTAAAAAAAGGGCTCTATTATTGCAAGCTAACCGTTCGTCTCGCTTCGATGCAAAAGCACGGCTACCTTTCAAGATGGCGCAGGGAACTGTGAAGGAGACTATTTGCACTAAATGTAGAAGTTCGTCAAATCAGCGAAAAAAAGTCCCTAATGACTTAACTATTCCGGGGAGGGGAGGGGAGCGGAGGGAGCTTATCTTACCCAGTCTTGACCATATAGTTCCATGCCTTGATTGGCCAGCCTCCATTGCATCCACTGTTATCAGTATCACAGTCGACCAATTGTTGAGCAGACAAAACCACATCGATTCTGTTCTGACTGGCGATAGCAAAACGATCTGAGAGAGTTTCTGAGGATAAAAAGGAACAAAAGGCCAGGCGTGAAAAATGGTTGTGTTTACTTGAACTGCATTTGAGAGACGTGTACCAGTACTGCGCATGCTCGACACAGTAATGCAAATAATATACATTAATAGCTCTCTTTCGTTATGTTTGGAAGCGTATCCGGAAGCCATGCATGGATTTGATTCCTATATCAGCAGGGACTCAGCTTGTGACAAATAATAAATTATTGCTACAGCTGTAGATTCAGTTTCTGATCACGGAATTGGCGACACATCGATTCCTTCTTTCAGACTCACGAAAACAGCTTTTGTTTTGGGTTATTTTCCCTTTCGCGAAAAATTTCAACTTCGATATTAATTTTCAGGCGTTCTGCAGAGCACAAATTGTGAAAACTTTCTTTTCGATACAGGTTTCGTTCAGCGTTACGCCACGTTGTCGGTGTTTAATAATGGTATATTCAAATATGCAAACAGGGAAGCAAACAAAGAAGCAAGCAAACAAACAAGGAAGCAAACACTACAAACAAGAAAGCAAATACACAAACAAGGAAGCAAACAAGCACGCAAGGAAGCAAGCAAACAGACAAGGAAGCAAGCAAACGAGAAAGCAAGCAAACAAGATAGCAAATACACAAACAAGGAAGCAAACAAGCACACAAGGAAGCAAGCAAACAAACAAGGAACAAGCAAACCAATAAAAATGTATCTACCTGATGCTCCAAAAGCCCAACAACTGCCGCACTGACCCTACAAAAAAATGAAATATCGTGTTAATAAAATGAGATCCCCCTCCCCCTTGAGTGACAGAGTCTGATTATTTAAATATGACCTCCTCCAGGCCCAGCCAAATATGCACCGCCCGCATCCCCCTCCCCGGTAAAAACTGAACGCTCGCAAACATGAAGGGGGGGAGGGGGAGGGGGGAATTAAAGGGGAGTTTGTGAAGAAGAGGGGATACCAGGGGACGCGAAGCCATGTTAATTCAATTAATTTAATTAGTTTCGGTGTAGCGTACCTGGTTTCTAATCGGTCGTATCGAGCCTGGCCATCGCTGACGTGAATCAAAAGTATCAGGAATGTTCTCCACTATTTCGACTCGTCTTTCTTGAGGTGGGTTTTCTCGTGGCCATCCACCTTTACTGCCCAGCATCAAAGAAGCTTTCTCCAGAGTCAAATTCGCGAACTGTGGGTAGATAGTTGCTTCCCAACTGAAAAAGATTTTTAAAAAACTAAATCACTTAATAAGTTTTCATATGCTTTCAGTTCGACCCCGTTGAGCTGCGCCACTGTTTTTATCACATAAAGGACCATTTATTTCTTAAGGAGGTGTGTGGGCCAGTACCTTCGGCTTCAGAGGTTCTAGTTCGCTTCTTGTATGAACGAGCAACTTCCATTCAAGACAGCAAACGCCGGAGCGAGAATAAATATCCCCAAATTTCAGTAAAGAGAAAGGGAGGGGGCAGTAAAATATATGCAAGATAGAGAGAAGATAACTTGAATTAAAAACTAATAAGTTCGTAATGTCCTTTTGACATTTTTCCAAATTACTACGAGACGGGAACTACGAGACCGGAAATTGCCACTCTATGTTGTTACTCAATCTTTTCCAGATGATTAATCCGTGAACCAAAATAGCATTTCCCTATATGTATATATTAACCACTAGTAGTAACGATCCGTGACAAACTTTTCCTTTTTCTTTTTTATAGAAATAAACGTAATGTACTGAAAGCATTTGGTAGTTACGTTTGTTTTCTGTGGTTTCTCGTTTCATAATCAGTCCAACGTTTGAAAATTCAACACAAGCTACTTCTATAATATAGTATTTAACATTATATTTATTCATAATTCTAAAAACTAGATTACCAAATGATTAGGATGATTGACTTAGTTGGATCTTAATATTCGACCATTTAAGCCTCTACAATTAAGATGATCTTTTTTTAATGACTATCGTAAGAAAAATGTCACAATAAAAATCTCGTATGCAAATACTTACCCTACATTTAAAATATTCACTTTCTGCACAATATCTTCTGAAATTACCATTTCCTGTTTGTCAGAGTAACATTTGACTACAAGGAGAAGAGCTATCACGAACGATACTCTCAACATGTTTTCAGTTTAGGTTCACAAAAAGCGAAAAAAGTTCTGAACGAGTTCAGCGAAGGGCTTCTGAAACAGAATGACAAACGAAGAGCATTGGGGGAGTTTATTAGTAAGCTTCCTGAACTCGTGATTTAACAACTGATTGTCTTATGGTTAAAAGGCATGTCATATGATTTGACTAGAAAAATATAATTACCATTTTGTCGTTGACAGATCAGCAATGTTTCGATGATCAGAGGAAATAGTGTAATGTACTGGACTGGAGTTGGAAACAAATTTTTTAGTGTATGTGTTTACAAAATTCGGTAAACGTGCAGAATTTGTCGTTATAATTATAGTTAAAAAATATATTAGATTGCACGCACTAGAGAGACCACAGTAAATCCGTGAAACACTAATTACTAAATAGTAAAAAATAGTGCTAGTTAAACAATAGAAAACAATGGAATTTGCATGAAATTGTTCTATTTAGTATTACTAAAGTTTCACGGATTTACTGTGGTCACTCTAAACCCGTGAAACAAATACTAACTTTTAGTACTAAATGGTGATAAATAAACAATAGAAAACAAAGGATTCAGAATGAAAAAGTACTAATCAGTACTAATTAATGTTCACAGATTTAGTGCATGCACTCTAATAAGATAACTATCTATTACTTTTTGGCATGTTTCTTTTAACTTGATTGGTATCCCCTTGATTGTCTCAAGGGCATTTCATATTATTTGGCAAGAAAAATAAAATTGCCATTGTTGTTGACAGATCAGCAGCATGTTTCCATCATCAAAGGAAATACTGGAATAGACTGGAATTGGAAAAAATGGCATTTTTACAAAATTTGGTAAAAGTGCAGAATTTGTCTTTATAATACATACATAAAAACATTATTAAGATAACTATATAATATGATAACAATAAAAACATAAAACAACTGTTTATTTATACTTTTTTGCATGTTTCTTTTAACTTGATTTGTATACAAGCCCAAATGATCAAAAAAGAAAATTAAAAAAACCAACATTTAAATGTTTTTTGCAAACATTTAGATCTGTAATAGGTCTGTTTTAGACAAGTGTGAGCCAATTTTTTTGTCAGAGCAAGAAAACTATTGAAAAAAAAAGGTAAATGATTATAACAAACGTTTTTTAGGTGTAATTTTTCCCTTCTTCAGACCACATGTCATTGTTTGAGTCTCGCCCAATAATACAAGTAGTATTGATAAACAAAAAACATCACTAAAGGGAATGAAAGATGACTATAAAATATCTTTAATAGCTCTTTTACCCTACTGACTTCCATTGTTTGCTCTCATAGCTATAGTTGGCCTTGCTCTTTTTTTTCAGTTGAAATTAGGCTTGATTTCCAGCTGTGGTGAGTGGGGGAGGCTTGGTACAAACGACAACCTCACAGCTGAAACCTCTTTTTTTAAATTGAAACCTCTTTGTAAATTGAGTTATATCCATATTACCTTGTTTGATAATTGAAAACAAAGGAGTAATTCTCAAGGGAATGGCATGTGGTATCACAGCAAACATCACATCACAGAGTCCTCCTCTCCACAATCCCCTCCCCCCCATCTATGTGCCAGCCCCTCTTACCACCTCTTAAAATAATTGGATATATCCTTGTTGTTCTTTAAGCTAGCTCACATCAGGTAAATTTCTTATTAGTGTCTGTACTCGATTTAAAACTATTTCATTAGTGCAACGACAACAGTCGGCCTCATAAGGCGAATCAATCCACAGGACTCCCATAACACATAAAACACCATTATCTGTTCCTTCCACTGGAATCCGATTCTTCTTCAACCATTCTTTGAGTTTAGATTTTCTTTGAACCAGCTCATCCTCGGAGTAAATTCTAGAGTTCGTAGGCTGGAATGTTTCTTTGAAATTTGGTTTTTCTAAAAGTGGGTCGTCCTGATCGATGTGGATCGAATTTACAGCGTCACCCATGAGAAACATCACTGAATAACTGGTTTTGTTCAATACATCTTTCGATGAAATAACGTCTTTCACAGGCACAACTACGACACAGTAAGTAACAGGATCTATAGTATAAACCCATCCAACTATTCTTCTGTCATCAATTAATGTTATAGTAACTTTTTTGTCGACAAATTTTTGAAGAGTTGTTGGAGATAGTTTGGTGAAGTCATCGTCGGCCGCCATTTTTGTTTGGTAAGATAGGCCCAGTCCCTTTGCGCGCAATCGGAACACGTCTGATACGACCACGCCCTTGATAATGGGGTAGGGGTATAGGGTTAAGAAATGAAAACACTAAAACTGTGATAATGAGAGAGAAAGAGGGGGAGAGTGAGAGAAAGGGAGGGAGATAAAGAAAGGGAGAAAATAAGAATGGAAAAAAAGGGGACAAAATCTTGGAAAAGGTTGTTTGAAAGGTATCAAAAAGAAAAACGTAGTCTAATGCAAAGGATCAAAGAATATAAAATCATTTTTTACACCAGCAATAACACCTTCATCGTTTCTTTTAAAAAAATAATTTATTATTCAAAATCCATTTGAAGATACCAGTAATAAATGCTAGTTATGCATTTTTTTAGAGTGAAGTCACTAAACCTATAAATAGATATTACACTAACACACTTTAGTATACCTTAATTCCTTTGTTTTCTTTTGTGTCTATTTTAGTATGTATTACACGTTGACTAATTATTTTTATTTCACAGGTTAAATACCCTGGGTCTACCCTATCTCTGATCATGTCCAGTTGTTTCCCATGACTTGGAAAAAATGTCATTTTTATTTTAGCAACTTACCTAGATTTGCAAACGACTAAGGGTTTTGGGTGCATGCAAACAGGGTATACTACGGTGGCCCATAAGTGCAAAACACAAACGCAAAAGTAAAAACACAAACGCAAAAGCCAAAACACTTGACACCTCAGGTAGGTTAATAAAGTAGTCTTTGTATCTTTGTTACTGGAATATTACTTACCAATTATGAAAAATTACTTTATTTTATTATTATTTAGATGTTTTGCCATAAATGTGGATATCGTTAAACTTTGCTAAAAAATTCGAGAATAGTGGTATAATCATAGCCTTTTTTGAATGCTTTATCGCTTCTTCTTCTTCCACCATCATGATAACTCAACCGATTAGCCAGTGTAGCCAGGCAAGAGATACACTAGACTCTTCCACAGACCCCGCTCGGCCGCTTCACTCTCCATAAGGAAGCGGCCTAGCGAAGGACTGCGGAAGTCTTGTGATAGGTGTGATAGGTTCCACTCAGGGTTCAGTTTCTTCTCTTTTTAACACAGGAAGCCCAGTTGAATCCAACTTTTGCGTTTGCGTTCTGACTTTTGCGTTTGCGTTTGTGTTTTGGCTTTTGCGTTTGTGTTTTGGCTTTCGAGTTTGTGTTCTGGCTTTTGCGTTTGTGTTTTGGCTTTTGCGTTTGTGTTTTGGCTTTTGCGTTTGTGTTTTGGCTTTTGCGTTTGTGTTTTGGCTTTTGCGTTTG